CCCTGGGCCTTCCGCCCGCCACTGGCGTGTAATCCTATCTCTCGAGGTGGTTACATAGGTTGGAAATTTGGGGAACGTCTTGACGCTGGCCAAAAACCTGCGTTTATTTGCGTGGACAAATATATTCGGTATGACAGCGGTATGTTTTAAAGAATGAGGCGATGGAAGCAACATCCTTTCATTATCTTCCTGTGTAAATATGTTTCAACGATATCTGCTTACCTTAGGGCTTGTCAGACAGGTATGGTTTCCCACCCCCTGAATAGCGTAAACCCTAGGGTGGATATTCTGCTCTGCTATAATTTTTCCATGGAGGTTACTTGGCCTGTGTACAAGACATTTAATATTCTAAGCTGGTGAGCTTGCACACTGCAGGCGCTGAAGCACAGCAAACCCCCAAAACCCCAGCGTCTAACAGAAAAAGTTATGCTCCATTTGTTAACATGTCTGTAAAACAACTTTACATTCATATTGATGTGAAAGCTGTAAGAGAATGCCAAATAACAGTCAGCTCTGTTAACTGTTTAACCGCAGAATACCTTTGTGACTATATGGATGCATAGTGCTTTACATATTATTAGGTTTTGGTGATACTAAACAGTGTTACTGATTCTGTGTGATGTATTGTGGGGAGGACTTTTTCTTCACGCTTCCTTCTCCCCCTCAGTTTTGCTTATTTGTGAAGTAAGTGTGCTTTTACATTGGAGGTACCAAGCGTGTTTCAGAGAGAGCAATCTATAACGTAACACTGAGCTAAGTATAACTTCACTACCACAAGAATTTCTTAGGATTCTGAAAAGTTTCGTGGACCGTGATTATTTTTTCTTGGTGTCAGCTGAAAATACTCTTGTGTTTTCCAGAAGAATAATAATATTAGAGCTTTTAGAAGACTACCCCCCCACCACCTCCTGGAAGTGAGCTGTTGTTTACTTCTATGGAGGTTCATGTTTCTTTGAAACATAGATCGGTTTGTGTTTTTCAACTTGCTTTCTTTGATGGATATCTGTTTGTTTTGTCAGTTCTTGCTGATTTTCTGTGTAGTAAGCTGCTACTGACATACATGGATTGAAGATTGGTTTTAGTTCCAAAAGTGGTAATTGCCACGCAAATACAACAACTTAAATGTTTCTACTGAACTGAAAGTATTTATGCACCGCTTGCTGAGCTTTAGTTCTTCTTAAAAAAGGTTCCTGTTCATAAAGCCTAGGATAATACCACTTCCTCGATATTACTTAGTTGCTACTCAGTTTCTTTATGAAATCAAAGTGAATGTGGGTTGGGTAATATATTGATTGCATTTTAAATGGAAGCCGTTGTGTTGCAGGTAGAGGAGAACAATCGTCTGCGGTTCCTGAATTCGCAGCAGTTAAGGAGCTTAGTTAGTTAGTCAGGGTGGCATTTTGTATGCATACAGTGTAAAAGTTGCATCTGGGGTTTGGGGGGTTTTTTTTTGTTTTTTTTTTCCTCTCTTAAACTGAGAAGCTATATATCCTGCAATTTGAGAGGACTAAACTGCCTGAGAGAAGTTGAGAGCCAGTAGTGGTTAAGGTAGTAAGCTGGTTGCTGAATAGTTTTTTAGCATGACGTTTGATTCTTTCCCTTACGGAGGTGTGCCTCTTGTGCTAAAAGTCTGTTTGTCACTAGCTTGCTTCTTTCCCTTTTGACCTTGAAAATTTGGGAAGACAAGTTCAGAGTCACTTTTTCATCTATTTAAAAAGGAAATAGAAGTATTCTCTCCACTTTTTGTTTTAGTTTTACAGTGTCGTGTTTCTGAGCAAGAACTGGACTTGCTTTGTGCATGGAATGTCACACATCAGGTCCCTTCTAGATTAGGTGCACAGGACAGAGACAAATAGAAACAAAGAAGAGCCCTTCACAGTTGTGTCTCTCAGGACCTCTTTTTTAAATTACTTTACATTTTTCTTAGTTTTATTTCAATAATTTAATGTTTTTCTTTCAGTAAATCTCCTAGTATTTTTGATATGAAATTACTAACACAGCTTCTGTATTTTCAATCCATGTCTTATTTGAAAGAATTCACTATTTGTCCTGTTGCCCAGTGCAATAAGCTGCACAAGCTCTGCATAATGCTCTGTGTTTAGATATGTTTTCTTTCTGTCATCCTGATCAAAGCTTTCAGGTTTTGTGGCTTTTTAAATGTAACACCAAAAATGTCTCATGAAAGCTTGAGGTGAACATAGGCTACAAACTGACAGTAGTAATTTCAAATACTCTGGTAATATGTTCAGTGTGTTCCTGCCCAAAATTCTCTTGGATACAGCTGAAACAGTCTTTGCATAAAAGTGAACAAACAAAAAATTTACAGGAAAGTTGTTTTATTCATATGGCACTGTTAAATGGGCAGCTTGGTAAGGCGATGAACTTCATGGAGCATGATGCTGTTAAATAAATTGATGTTATGTTATAGGCTATTTGTGCAACATTAATGTTCCATAATGTTAAAAATAAGGGCTTGTGAGCTTGATTTGGGAGGGTGGCAAAGCAGGGGTGGGTGTTCTTTGTGTTGCTGCATTGTGGTGGTGCAACAGTGTACAAAGTTTAAATTGAAAAATTCAAAGGAAATGTATTTTTTTTAAAACGATTGTGCAATGTTGTCTGACATGTTTAATTCTTCTACAGATTAACACTAAAGCCCCACAATGTCCTTGAAACCACGAGTAGTTGACTTTGATGAAACATGGAACAAACTTCTAACAACAATTAAAGCTGTTGTTATGTTGGATTATGTTGAAAGAGCAACGTGGAATGATCGCTTCTCGTATCCTTTAATTGAAAATCTGACTTAATGTGTTTGTGTGATGTCTTTAGCATGGAGTAGGCCTGTGTTATATAACAATTTCGGTGGTCTTGATCAGAAGCCCGCTGCAAGGCTCTGTCGGTTATTAAGCCTGTGTGTCAGTGGATATGTTGAGAGGGATGGGTATTCTGCATATTTTGGAAATATTCTGTGTGAAAATCACCACAGTTATAAAAAGTAAGCTGGTCTGAGTTTTGCTCGCTTTTGGTAGCTCTAATACTTAGCTTATGCTGTAGCTGTTCACAAAAGTACATACATTGAATCTCCCCTATTCTGATAATGACTTCTTCTTGTATGCTTAAGTGCGCGTGCATCAGGGGAAACATGTAAGACGGAGAATGCACATCTTTAAATTTGGTAGGGTGGGAGGGGTGGTGAGGTTGTTCTGTTTAAAGATGTCTCCCTCCTCTTTGCACTTGTAAGTGTGCTTGATGACTACCATATTAGATGTTTCTATAGCAAATGTTTATAAAAAAGCCTTCTTCCTTTACCTCCACTGTTATTGCCTCTCTATTCCTTACAGTCAAGCTGTGTTTAAAAATAATTACTCTTTCTAGCTGTGGTCGTATGGTCTTGCTGTTCAAGTCACAGCTGTGCATATATTGTTGTAGTGAAAGTTTTGCATTTTACATGTCAAATGGACTTGTAATTTTTTACAAGATTTAAGTTTCAGTGAACTTCTTTTGAAACAAGTGTAACTATTCTAACCAGTTATACTGTACCCTGTGTCTATGCATTCAGTAACCATTACAGTGTGGTGACTAATTAGAGAATTTTAGGAGGCTTTGCAGCTCTTCTGCAGCAATTTGACTGAGTTTGGTTTAATTATAAGGGGGAAGAATGGTTTAGACTTATTTATCGATTTGTTAATTCTTCTGGGTGAAAAAAGAAGCTCCTGAGAAGGTTCTTATACATAGATTTTTTTTTTTTTTTTACAACATAAGCTTATGCTGTGTGCAGGAGCTAGACTCTGAAGTTTCTTCTCTTTCTGGATGTGTTACCATTTCTCAGAATTGCTTTCCCACGTGCCTGTGTTTTGAGTGTTTGCATATGTATAAACACAAAAAAGACAGATTTAGTTGCTCACAGTCCTTGTGGAGCCTTGTTCTATGGTGCAATAATCTTTAAGGAGCTCCTTCATTTTAAAACTTTGTAATTAATTTCTGGGGCCATGCCTCTTCACCTTGTCTTGGAGTCAAGTTCAAATTACTCCAAAATTTGCTGACTTTTTGAATTAATTAGTTCTGCACTTATGTGCTGACAAATTGTGCTGTAGTCATTCTTTCTAAACAGTTTTTAAGAACTGCGTTTTTCAATCTTCAACAACTGCTTAACTTCTGGAGCTTAAAACTAAACATTTAAACAAGGGCACCTAAGATAGTTTTAAATCTAAAATAATTGAATGAGATGTTGGATTGATTCCTCTTGTCACACTGTTTCACTTAGAACTTCTTATGTGGAGGCCTGGTACACAAGTCTGCTGTTGATCCTCTTTTGGGATTTACTCCAGTTGATTGAACATCAGAAAGGGAATGCTTATGAATAGCAGACTCAGGAAGCAGTCTTGGAAGAATCATTTGGCATGTAATTCTTAAGACCTTACTTACTATCATCTCTTAATTATGTTCCTTGGAAGGTGGCACTATTAGTGCCTGATTTGGCACAGGTGAGAGCCTTTTGGCTTATTCCCTATGGCTGAATGGCCTGAGGAGCTTATGTGACTTGTAACTTCCAGCTTAAATGTTGATTGTTTAGTACTGCTACCTTTAACCAAACTGTATGTTTTAACACAAACTGCTCACCGAGTGTTCAACAAGTTGGTGAAACTGGTAGTTCTATACAGCTGGTGTGAAAGCTTTTTCCACATTTTAAATATATAAAGAAAACTAAAATACTAATGATATATTTTATGTAGATGTGGCATTTAAAAAATACATCTTCCTGTTCTTTGTTAGCTTTTTGTTCTCTGTTAAATTCAATTTAATTGGAGTAATGTGTTTCTAAACATCTACAGGGAATTTAAAGGAAATGTCATATTAACTATTTTTCTTGCTGCTTAATAAGCACAATAAAAAGGTGACAAATGATTTGAACTATGTCTTAATGAAATTCATACAGGCTATTTCATTGATTATAGTACCACTTGATCTTTGTCGTCTCTCTATGCTTAAAACAACGATGTGGAAACAAAGGGTAAGATACAGCAAAGAATCATGATTTCAGTCTGCAGCAGTGTATTCGAAGAAGTGTTTGCTTTCTCTTGTGCTGCTTAAGACAGCTGAGATCAAATGGTGTATGCAGACTAATAGCATTTTAAGGGTGAGAGGTTTGTACTGTGCATGTACCACTTCCAGAACTAATTTTTGCCTCACTACTTCCCCAGAACTTGTTTGTCTTGAGTATAATGTTTTCTTTGTAACTCTGATGGTAATTTTATTGTTAAACATAGTTTACCTTTAAATATAGCTTATCTCAAACTTGAAATGCTAGAATGGCGATGAGCTGGGAACCACAACTGTGTAAGAGTTAAAATCTTCTGGAAAAGATCTCTTGAAAGACCATATGTTGCTTTATTTAAGCTGTGAGTCATCTTGAGCCACCTTTGACCTTCAGATTTCCTTTCAGGTTCTCTGCAAAAAGAAATGTTTCTGGAATTGTTTCGTTGTCTGGTAAATGAGTGACAGTTATGTCTCTCTATTTGAGATATTATTTACAATAATTTGGTTATTATGAATGCTTTGTATAACTTTTAAGGCTTTGCTTCTAACTGTTCAGTAGGCTAGGGAGTGCTCTTTAACTTAAAGAGGCTGATCAAGCTTGATTAGAGAGTGGTAGTTCATCTGTACTTTGAAAACTACCTTTTAGCAGTAGAACTATTTTGAACGGGTAGAACATCAGGATCTTCTGTTGTTGTCTTGGGTTTTCCACCAACCAAGTAAATAGGATGAACAATACCCAGGGAGGAAGGTAGCCATACTGCAAGCAGAATTATTTTAAAAGTATGCAAAGTGGCCACCTGCTTTTTTCCATTTTTCTGCATGTTTGTTCTCCCTCCTCTAATCTCCCATTTTACAAGGATCCTATGATGAACCAGAAACTTACACACATGGATCTTTAACATAACCCAGAGAGCAGGAAGAGTAAGTAAAGTTCATATGATCGTGATTCTTTCTGACTGTAAGTCCTCAAGTGCTCTAAGAATTTTGATTCTGTTACAGAGGGAGACTAACAATCACAGAATTTTTCCAAAAGTGCTACTTTGGTCTTCTAGAGAAGATCTATTCAAAACCTTTTGCTAATATATGGTCTTAACTAGATGCCTTTTTAACCCTTAGGACAATATTTGTGAGCTTTTATGACCTTGGATACAGTATTTTCTAGTTGATGGTATTTTTGTTTTTTCCTTAGTTTGGAGTTGCTTCAGTTTCCCATTGCTGCGTAATGCCCCTCAAATAGCAACTACTGGAGCACTTAAATTGCACAAGGCTTTTGATGTTCTTGTTCTCAACACAGAGTGATGGCCCCTAAGCAGCAGTTTGGCTTCAGCTTCCTTTGACCTTTCTCACCCTGCAAAACTATGTGCTGAACTGGAAAGACAGATGGCTTTCACCATTAAAGATAAATTATTGAACAGTAAAGGCTTCTTTCTGATCTTCTGAGGGACAGCAGCACAGAAAAAATGTGCTTTAAGTTCATGGAGTAAAATACCAGTGATGATTAATGATTCCTCTCCGCTCAACGATTTTTTGTTGTTGTTGTTGTTAAGAGATTCACAACATTTTGAACACTACACTTGAATTTGGATTCTGGACTGGAAGATGTATATAGATGAATAAACTAGTACAAATTGAGCAAGAAGGTGAACTTTCTGTAGCAAAGCTACTCTGTAATGTGTTTTTGAGACTCATGTAGCTCTCTTTTGTAGAAATCCAGAGAAACTTAGTATCCAGCAAGTAGCATTTGGTATTGATTTTTATCATTTGGTTGATAGAGGAAAACGTGTGAGTTGCCTGTGGAAGTGTTTCTGTGATTAAGCTGTTTAATTTCAGCAGGTGTGCAAACTGAGTGTCATATGTCAAGGAAGGATACTAGATTCAGCTTTCTTCATTTGCAAGAAAATTTGACTGTTCTCTAGAATTAGGAAGGGCACGGTTGGAAGAAGTGCATTTTCATGCAGGAGTACAGATCCTATTTTCATTCTTAAATAGGTTTATTACAACTAAGAAACTTGTTTACAACAGTCAGGTCATCTGGACTCCTAACTGAAGAGGCTAGATAAATTCGGGGATATGTTTGCTGCTTTCATCAGATAAGCTGCTGGTATTATTTTCTTGTGCTGTTGTGGTGAAGACTGCCTGTTTCCTCTAACTTCAAAGTAAGTAGTTCCTGGGGCAGAGATCCGTAACAGTTTTGGTGATTCAGGTAGTGTAGCTGTGGATCTAAAGAGAAAAGTCATGTCCCTTTGCTTGTGAGTAGCTTACAAAGATTTCTAATTCTGGAATTCACTTTCTCAGAAATATCTTATTTGCATAGTGAAGAGGCTTGCAATGTGAATGATACTGAGGATGCGTTTGACTACAGCCCATCCTTAGACTGACAAAATTTGTCTGGGCGCGGGAGGGGAATGTGTGAAAAAAACAATTGTTCTTTTACAATCTGTTTAAGAGAACCTGTCATTCTTAATTACTAATTTAATAGTTTGTTTTGGTATTTTATTGGTTATAACTTTGTAAGTTGGTGTAACACAATGCTAGCTGCTATTATAAAGCAGTGCATATTGCCTGTTTTGTTTGTTGGGGTTTCCATTTAATGCTTCTTGTGATTCCGAGGAGAATTCTGCTAAAGGTGTTCTATATGGGTGAAATAACTGTACGTGAGATTAGACTCTGATTAGGCTGTCCAAGATTCCAGTTGTCAAATAAAGGCTTTTTCCATGTAGTTGTCCTACATCAGTATCTTCTCTGTTTTGAGTAGTACTTCTGTATAAAAAATGAAACATGCTTTTGGGGCAAAACTGTGTGATGAAAGCTTGAGGCTGTTCTGTAGACTAAGCAGGTGATGTGTCAACTGTCCTTATGTCTTCTACCTCCTTTTACACAGCATGTGCTTTTTTTTAAGGTAGACTAGAGGAAAGCTGATTTTTTGTCTTGTTTTAATTAAAGAGCTTACCTTAAAGAATCTATACTAAATCATTGTTTCTAGCATGGCTGGTTTCATAAAATACCTAGACTTAGTGGATAAGCATGATGTTTTTAAATAACTTTTGCAGAACTAGTTTATTTCCCACAGTTGTTCACCTGAAGCTTGACTTAATCGTTGCTTGACTTTTCTGAAAGCAAAGTTAATCATAAATTCTTTTCCTGACAACGTATCAAGTAACTTTTTTTAAACTTGACATAAAGCATACAAACCAAAGGTGTAGCTCTGTGAGGTACTTCAGGGACAAAACCACCTTAAGGGGTTTAACTGTTTGCTGCTGCCCATTTAAGTGAGCAAGTATAACTGGTTTGTGTGGCTGTGACCTAAACAGGATTACTGAAAAGATAATAATGGCTAAAAATAAAATAAAGTTTTTTGCATCCACACCACCATTCTGGTGACTTAATTTCCAGTGTCCCACAAAATTGTGTTACCTGTGGAGTTGGGGAGAATATGCAAGGGCAGTAAATTGTTTTGGACTTGGGGGAGGAAAACTTGAAGTTGTCTTCACTTCATGTTTGCTCTGCTCCATACTTGGCTAATCACATTCTTAACCTATTTAGTGCTTCTTTCCATTATCAGAAGAGAGTCTCAATTTCACTTTGGCTGCAGATACAGAGGAAGAATTTTGGATGAAATTTCACTTTGAAATAATCATATATTATTCATAGGTGGCAAATAAGTGGTAGAAGCCATGTCAAAATGGAGCTACCAGAAGTTCCAGGATCTTAGCTCTAACATTCCCTCACTTTCTACTATTTAAAATTTATTATTGACGCTGAAAACTTAGGTTCTCCACAAATCAGGACTTACACTAAGTTCAGAAAATGATCCATTTTATCTTTTGTGTTCAACTGTAAAAAAAAGATCTAAAATGTTTGTGTGAGGGAAAAAAGGTTCTGTAAATCTCAAATTTTGTTGATAAGTTTTCACACTTCAAGCAGATACAAACCTTGACTCTGAGCCCAGAGACATTTATGCTTTGTGTGTGGCCTATCCTGAACCTCTTGGAGAGAGACTTTATACTGAGACTAAAATTTTTTTGGAAAATCATGTACGCCATTTGCACAAGGTAACCTATACAGTTACTGATGTACACGTAGGTATTGTTTATCCTTTTTTGACTTTAGAGAGGGGTTTTGTTTGGTTTGTGTGTATGAAGGTATGCAGATTTTACGAGACTGAATGCAGAAAGCATACATGCATTTTTTTTTTAAATTGTCTATCCACCATCTGTCTTGGAAATAATGTTGGAAAACCTTTGCAAAAATCATACTGCAGAGGAAAGCGCTCTCAATTCTGTTTCGTCTACTAGCTTTCCTCTTTTACATTATTTTTGCATAGGCTCCTTTGCTGCTTGAGCCAGGGTTTAAAATTGTACACTCTCTCTACAGAGAATTATAGTTGAATTCCTAGGATCTCATCATTCTTCACAAATTGTACTAATTTGTTTAAATTGTTGAACTTATTCCTTTGGTGTATGAATGTATTTTGAGAAGTTCAGTACATCAGCAACTTCTTAGATGACGATTTGTTTAAATTCCAAAAGATTTGGGCCTAGATTTACAGAACTTAAGATGTGTTTAAGTTTGCATATACCTGTGCTTTGTTAAACTTGTTTTATTCCAGGATTCTTGGTAAGTATAAGGGCTTGTCTGACCAGTAAGGCATACTGATTTTAAGCAGTTACAGTTAGGCAACTCCTCCAGTGTGCATGTGGCTGCACAAATTTAAAATTTATCTGTGTCAGTGAGGGAATAGTTATGTGAGTTATCCTACCAGTGTGATGTGAGAATATGAACCATGCTTATTCAAGCAAGTACTTCTGTAAAAAACAAATAGAAAATAATACGTTACAGAGATTGTTATTTTTAAATGCAAAATAAAACAACTTCAGGTGTTGTAGCTGGCTTACCGAAACTTTGTACTATGAAGATTTGTTAGTTTTCTGGTCATTGCAACAATGTTATTTTTAGACTGGTTAAAGCTATAGGTGTGGTCTTAATTTTGAATCTGTGATTGTTATTCCAAAATTATAATCCTGTTATAACTTTCTATGTATGTATGCTATGTTCCTACTAATTTTAGCGGCATGTGTGTGTATCTTCCTTCACAGAGAGTTCTAGAAGCTGAAGAACAAGTACTGGTTATGTATCACAGATACTGGGAAGAGTATAGCAAAGGGGCAGACTATATGGACTGTTTATACAGGTAAGCTTTGCAAATGAGTTGTTAAACTTTTGAAATGATTACAGTGATCTGCAGCTGAAGTCTAAGAATGTTGCTTAAAGAGAGCAATAAATGAATATGCCCCAGATCAGTTTTGAAGATAAAATAGTAGCAGAACATGAGAAAAAAGGAATAATACTCCAACAGGTTTTTCTGTGCGCTGCTCCTTACCACCGAAGTCATTATCTGAGATGATTCCTACTGTTCTTTCGTTACTGATACGTTCTACCTCTGTTGTTTCTGATGTTGCAGTGCCAAATATGTTGGTGCTAATCAACCCTGTGGTGAAGTAGCTCATAATCCTAGGTGTTCTTCCACAAGGATGGCATTGTACTGGTGTCCAGTTGAACCAGCATGTTTTGTTTTAAAGCTTAGCCACGTACCTTGGCAAAAACACAGCTCTCCCTTCTAAAAAAACCTTTCAGACAAGGCTATGTGCTCTTAAGGTCCGTTCTTTTCAGGTGAACGTTTGAACTGCAGGGGTTGGAAAGGGAGTGAAAATTTCTCCTTGTTCCTTTTCTGAGAACTTCAGAAACTAATAGTCTGTATACAGGCAATCGGTTTTACAGCTTTTTTTCAGTAGATTACAGCCAAGTCTGCAAATAAAACCACAACTTCTACTGTTTCCTGAATTAAGAGTGCATTTCATTGCTACTAGTGATATCTTAAGCATATAAAACTCACCCATTCATGAGCTGCTAGCATTATAACTATATTGGGATGGCTTTGGATTTACTAGGATTTGGATTTTAGTTCCACTCTGACTGTAGGTCGAACATTCTAACATCCATTATGCATGTGATACCCAGCAGGTAAATATGAGGCACTGTTAATATTGTACTTATTTGATGGTATGATGTGAGGATTTACAAAGGATTTCAAGACCTTTAGTATTACATTAGGAGATGTATGTGTGATCTTGTAGAATCTATTAAATTACCGCTAGCAGACTGGGAACAAATGTGATGGAGTCCATCCTGGGCTTGTAAACTTTAGTTCCATAATGTGTCACTGACTTAACTGGAGAGTTGATACAGGGGTAAAAAAAAAAATCCTATTTAATGTGTATGAATCTCACTGATTCTACTTTGTGTAACAGATTTTCTGAGCACTTGAGTGCCTCTGGTCTTAAACGAACAAATTAAAATACTTCTCCAGCAGTATGAACCTTGTTTTTTTGTTTTATTTTTAAACAAGCTAGGGCATTTTTTTCCAGACAGTTGTTAAGCACACAAACCAACCTGTATGTATATAAAGATCAGTAGAGGGGTATTCATAGATCAGTGAAGACAAGTCCTTAAACTCTGAAGTTATTTATTTCATGCCAGCTCTGCCCATTCTGACTCTTCTTCCTGCTTTGCATATGGTGTTTTGGTCCAGAAAATGTACTTGTTAGATGTTCTCTTGGAAATAATTTTACCATAAAGGTATATCTTCTTTCTTTGTGTTGAAATTCTGAGCTTTGTCATATACTGTCTTTTAAAAGTCTCTGAAGGGTATGACTTTGTGAAAGTATGAGTTTTCTCTTCAATAATAAAAAAGTACATTGTAATGGGAACTAAAAGACCCTCCCACGTGAAGGCAAGAAATAATTCAGTACTTGATTAGTAGTCATAATGACTTTCATGCACTGGAAACACTTCATTAAGTGTTATGTCACTTTTTTGGTTTTTTGAGAGAATGTTTTGGCTGAAAGTACTTCTAAAGACCGTGAGAAGATATTCTGGTTTTTATAAAGTAGTTGGAGTTCCTTTCTTACTTGCATGCCTGCTTTCAAAAAAGTGCCATAAATTAGTCGACTCTGTTGTATGCCAGAATCTAATTTGTATAATTCTTCCAGCAGTGAAAACTGATTAATCTCTACAGCTAGTAATCCTAATGTGAAATAGATTCCTTTAAAATCTAAATAGGCTCGCATCTCTGCTTCTTAAACCTTCTACCCTGATAGGCAATATTTGAAATACTACTAAAACGTGAGACACTTTACTTTTGAGCAAAATTTATAAAATATGAGACCAATCATGACTGGCAATGCAGTCAAATGTTTTCTTTCTTTGGTGTTGGTTTTGCTTTATCTCACTCCCCACCCAGGTGTGTTTTGCTAGGAAAACAAATTTGGATTTAGTTTGAAAACTAAAATCCCATATATGCTTGACTAAACCAAGATGATAAAACTGATGGAATAAGGAACACTTGATGTTAAATAAACTTTTTTAGGTGTTGTTTTTGTTAGTTCTGATGATAAACATAATGGATAAAAATAATGTTGGACATTGGGGCTTATCAGTGTCTTGGTGCTTTAACTGTTTTCATAGGTAATTGTACTTGTAAAAAAATCTGGTTTGTGTACCTTTATTTCAAGTAACTGAAGGGTTTTCTTATCCAGCAAATTGAAATTAATTTGAATTTGTTTTTTTTAAAACAGCTGAAGCTTTAAAATCTGCTCATAATAAAATCCTGAAAACTAAACACACATAGTGCAGCTTTTGCTTTGTTCTGTCTTGTCTCTTTTTAAACACTTGTAATACTAGCATATTAATGTATAGTAATTTTTAGCTCTTTAGGCTAATCTCAGTTCTCTTTCGTTTTGTACTTTTATGTGAGACATCTTCCCTTTCAGGATTAAACTTTAGCCAGTTTTGTCATGATAGGAGTAATTTGTATTCTGATTCTAAGCCTAATATCACAGTAACCTGTAACACAATTCAAACTGATACTAGTTCCAGTCCCCTTCTCATTTCTTTTAAGCCTTAAGAAGCTGCTGTTCTTAATCTTGCTTGCTAATTATGTAACTGAATAAACATGGTGAAGATTTAAATACACAAGAAGTCCCATCAACATTTGAAACCTAACATTAATGATATTTTTCTATTGAAATTTCTTCCACTGAACGAACTGCCTTCATTCTAGGTTATAGCATTTGGTAGCCCTGGGATGTTTACTTCCGCATCAGATATTTATTATTGGTCTCATAATTTTGAATTGGCTGTTAGATAAACAAAGTGTTAGTATCTGCAGTGCTTTGTCATAATAAAATGGTTTTCATTTATTAGCTAATCCTCAAATTGTGGTAGATGACTTCAACCCTGTTTTACAGATCTGTAAACCAGTGAATACTTTGCCTGTGCTTAAGAGTGAATCAGAACAGATTATGAAAACTTCTGTGCTGAGCACTTGTATGTGTACAGTACTAGGCACGTTAAAGCATTCTGCTTGTATAAAGCACAGTGGTTCTGCTGCTTTTAGTATAGCTCTTGTGAAGGCACCATTGCATGTTTTCATTGAAACATTTAAAAAAAAAAAAAAAAAGTGGGTGTGAACAAACATCTGAAGGTCATCCATTTCAACCTTATGCTCAGAGTAGGGATAGTTTCAGTTAAACCAGGTTGCTTAAGGTTTTGGTGAGTCAAATTCTGAGCTCCTTCAAGGACAGAGATTTTGCTGCCTTTATGAGCAGCCTATTTCAGTGCTTGATTACTGTCATTCTAAAAAAAGTTTTCTGTATGTCTGTTTGGAATTTTTCATGCTCCAGCTTGTGTCCATTGCTGCTTGTCTTTTCTCTGTGCTCCTCTGAGTAGAGTTTATCATCATCTTATCTATGTCTCGGGCTTTGTATCCTGGCTATTTCAGTGAGCTTTCCCTGTGCTCTTCCATTTGCCCAGATTTCTTGTATTTGGGTACTCAAAACTGGTTGTAATATTCCAGGTGTGTCCTCACAAGTGCTGAGGGAACAATCACCTCCCTCAGCTTGCTGATACACCTTTGCTGATGCAGCCGAGAAGGTGGTTGGTTCACTGTCGGTTCCACAAGACAAACTGATAACTTAGTATCCACCCATGAGAAACACTGTTCATAACTGGTCCCCAGGTAGATTTAGCACTGCTGACCATGCGAATGCACATGGAAATTGCTAAAAACTTTGATACAATTGCTAATTCCTATTATACAGTAATGTACCCATTTATAACTTTGTCAGGTGGTTGTATCAGCATTCTGTAGTTTGCAAAGCAATTTAATTGTGCAAGTGGTAGGCTGAAGAAAATCTTGGAAAAACAACCTGAGTGATTCTGAAAACTAACTGTAGTAATTAGTCCTAGTTAATCAGTTACCTTTTCTTTAATTGCCTCCTATACATCAGAAGGGTGAATGATATTGCCACATAGGATTTTTATCCATTTCTCTGTCCATGAACACTTGCAGTGACCTGTGAAAATCATTAGCAGGGTATTCAGTGCAAACTTCTGAAAGTAATTTCCTCAGCGTTTGGTCAGGTTTATACAGTTCTAGCAGCACTGTATACTGTTCTTCTCAACTCGTGTGCCATTTTGGGGATCAACGTAGCAGTCTGACTATGTGTGCAGAAGGGGGCAGGGGGAGTGGGGAAAAAAAAGAGAGTGGTTACTCAAAAGTCTCTATCTTTGGAGAGCTTTCGGAGGAGGAAAAAATCTGAATAGAGGGCATCTACCCTTTTTGCTTGAAAAAGTATGGTACTTCTAGAAATATATACATAATCATGTGTGTTGTCTTGTGGTGTCATATCATGGATGGACAAAGACTTAAAGAAGGTAAATTCTTTTGGGTTTATCGTGGAGAACATAAGAAAATAACCAGGAGATGACTTGAGACAGGTACGCTCTTAGGTTTAGTACATTCAAGTTAAATTTCACAATGTCTGTTTTGCCAACACTAATATTTGTTTCTTATCCAGCAGTATGTAATTCAAACTACTAACACCAAATAAATCATTAAAAGAAAAAAAATATACATCTAATCCTTCTGAGAAGGCTTTGCAAAGTCTGTTCCCCCAAGGACGCTGTGGGCTATTGTGGCAACATTGTTTTGGGAATGGGGTCACTGTGTCTAGAATAGTCATCTGTGGTTACAGTATTGTCCTTTGTTGATCTAAAAGTATCAAATACATGAAAGTTACTAGGTAACCTGTCCCAATAATTAGGTACCTTTCTAATTGTTAAATTAGTTTTTTGCAGTTTATTTTTTTTGCTAAATTCCTTGTAAAAGATCTTACCCTTTTACTGAATTACCAAGTCCTTTAAATCTGGAAAAATTGCCCACAAAAATATCCATGTACCAGACATTGTCCTGATATTGTTAATTTACATGGAACACTGTCTTTCAGTATTCCACTGTAAAGTAGGTATTTCTCCTCTTTCTGGAGTGGAAGCTTGGTAGGTGTGTTTTGAGGTTTGGGTACCAAAAGGTATATTGCTTTGCTAATGCCATGAAAGGAAACAAGCCTGTTTTCTCATCTTGTTTGCCATTTTCCTCATCAGACGGTAAACTATAAGCCTGCACAGGTGCACTGTCAAGTAATTGAGCCTGAGCAGTGTGATCAGGTATTTAAGATTTTCACCTGAAAGTTACATCTCAACAGTAACAAGAGTCTGTGGGTAGCTTCTGGTATTATCAATTCATGCCCAATCCTTGTCTCCGCAGTAAGTTACAGATAATCCTTATGGAGTGTCTTCTAAAAGTAAGAAACATAGATGAAGTATTTGAAGTAGTTAGTCAAGGTGAAAAATGGCTTATGACTTCAGTGGAGAAGTTGATTTGAGATTACACTGTTTGCACATCCTTTGCAATTATTTGCTTGTGCTTGCGCTTGGTTCTGGAACTTGATGGTAAAAGTAGGGCAAGGGGAGAGGACGCGTGGGCAAATTTGGGGGTTTTTTTTTTGAGGCAGAGTGTGGTGAAGCTCTTGCCACGAGTGGTTCTGCCTGCCTGCTTCTTGCCACCTGCTTTTTGCTTGAATCAGGTAGGTCTTTGCAGGGGTACCTGATCTAGGTTAAACTTGTTTGTTTACTTGTGGTTACATTAGTTTTAAGATGGGTCAGTTGCCCAATCTGGATTTGTTGAGAAGGCCTGGACTGATAGAAGAGAGAGGGTGTGAATTTCCTTTTTAGCAACCTTAACAGGAAAAAGCAGGATGGCAGCTGCTGCCTTTGTTCAAATTGCGGGGAGCAGGAAGTATCATCGAGGAGCATGCCTGCTTAAGGCTTGTGTTCCAACTATTCTGGATGTCCACACAAGTTTTATATGAAATGGCAGGCCTGTAGCCTTCTACACAGGTTTGCATTTACAATTTATGATGGTTATTGATTGTAGCAGGGCAGTTTACAGTACTCTGTAAGACTGGAGTCTGAAAGTAGGTTAGGCCACTGTATTCCAGTTTGTCGCCACTGCACTGTCACAAGTCTTCCTTCTGTGGACTCTGGTGTCCTAAATTTTTTCAAGTTTACAGGTTTCCATAGTGTGTTTCTCCTTTTCTTCTTTGCTTGTCATTTGCCTTCCTGCCCAACATGTTCAGACATGACTAGTCTGGTGCAGCCTCTGAAGCCTGAACATCTTAAAGCGCTTCAGTAATCCGGCTCTCTTCAGTGTCTGAAACTGGACATCTCAAAACTGCTAGTTGGGTCAGAATTTAAAAAAAAAATTCTCAGTTACCTCTTGTAAGCACTAACATAACAAATATTGTAAGTGTAGTTATGAAAGCTAATAGATTTTTTTTTCCCAGTTATCTGTGAAAGAGAAAAATAATGTTTCAGTTTAAAAATGTTACTGTATTTCTTTTAAGGGAATACTGAGAATTGAGGGATGTTTTGTCAGGTCTTGCACAGAAACCATTTTCTGTTCTTTATAAAAACTATGCATACAGTAGTAAATACTAAAATTAAAAAAAGCTTTTATAATGTTTCTTCTTTAGAACTGTTAATTAAAATACTTCTGCAAATTCTTCTCTTATCTTTAACATTTATAATACAGCTATTTGCTAGGTACCATGGCCTAAGTAAGGGATCATAACTGACAAAAGATTTGCCCTGTAAAAATTGACACTATTTTTGTGTTTTAGTCTGAGAGAAATGCAAAATAATAAACAGTACAGGTAGAAGAAAATACATTTTACTTAAAAATATCTGGTACTCAGGAACACTTTTCTATCATTAAAAAGACATAAATTATTACCACTCTAATACTAGTTAACTGCTCAGAATTTAGAAGTTACTTTGCATATACATGTATGAGTAACATGGCAATGTATGTTGAAAGGTTGGATTCTTACAAAAGTATATTACGCACCAAGAAAATGCTGACAGTGATATATCAGGCTACTGTTTGATACCTCAATTAATAACACTGTAGTGTTTTAATATGATGTAAGATCTTTTAAAATGAAGTCATTTGTATTTTAAGAATTTCCTACAGATAGCAATGGCATTGGTTAAAAGAGGTTTTTTTGTGATGTGGAAGACATTCCACAATTCCAAATTTATTTAAAAAAAAAAGTTTAACTTTTGCCTGTTTTGATTAGAATATCTTTATTTCTATAGGTACCTCAACACACAGTTTATTAAGAAGAACAAATTGACTGAAGCTGATCTTCAGTATGGGTATGGAGGGGTGGATATGAATGAACCATTGATGGAAATAGGAGAGGTAGGTATCTCTGAAAGTGGGAGTGGATATAAACCATCTTCAGAAGTGCTACAAGTTCAGCTTTGTCCTTTTAAATTTTGACTTTTCTGTGTTACAGAATTTGAGTGGTTAAATATGGTTGGAGATGTAAGCATTGAACCCTTTGTAAAATGAGATTACAGTTTTGATGTAGAAAAATATAGTGACCTAGGGGAAAAAATTAAGCAAATATGAAAACTACTGGAAAATTTAATTTTAAAATGTGGTAATAGATACCACTTTGGAAAAAAAACCCAAACCTTTGGTTTATCAAGTGACACTACTATCTAGAAAATGTTTTAAAGAAGCAGTACTTTTGTTGTTTAAACCCTTGGAATACTGCTTTTAGGCTTCTATTTCTTGATGTTACAGGTGTAACAGCTTTTTTTGAGATTAGTCTTCTGTGATACTGTACATCTTATTTTCTAATGCAAACTGTTTTGTGCTTCTATTTTAGCAACTCAGATTTTGGGAAAAAAGTAAACATTCTGTGCACAAAAGTATCATGTAGGGAGGGCTTATCTTTTAAAAAAAAAGAAAGTTCTTTAGTACAAACACAAGGGTGTTAACACGGTTACTAATGTAAATTGGAGAGGCTGAGACTCATTTTTAAATACCTATAAAATGAAACAAAATTGTCAGCAGTAGGACTATGTTCTGAGATACCACCATCTGCACTTCAGCTATGTGGAAGTGAAGTATACATTGTTTCTGTCACTTCATGGCTACTGTTACTATGAAATACAAGAAAGCGAAAGACAATTTTACAGGGAAAAAAAAATTCTTTCAAATTTTTTAAAAAAAAGTGTTTCAGCATGTCTTTAAGAAGATTGTAAAAACACCTTTTCAGTCTGAATCAGAACAAAGACATAATCCTGAATATAGTTGAATAGAAACTTTTCATTTGAATGCCTTTCTGTGTATCTGTTTGATTTGTGTCTGTATGTATACACACTGCTAGCTGGAGAATTCATTTTATTCTGTCATCATCTGTAGTGGTGTATTGTTTTTTCCTTTCCTCTCTACATTTGCCTTTTTCTCTAAAAGGGAAGCAAACAGTTCTTGTCTTTTGGTTTGGAAAGCCTAGAGAAAGCGCTTTTTTTTCCCTTAATGTCGGAACTTGACCTGTCAGTGGTTACTGTTCTAGCTCTTGTATTTCATTGTTTTAAGTAGGAGATCTCTGCTGTCTTTAGTTAAGAGTAAGGAGAGATTGTGATGCGGGAAGAAGGATCTTCTGTGCTTCTGACCCAGCTACCCAGCTGATGAAGACAGCACTGCCAGTTGAAATTGCTGATCCTCTGACAGGCTGGGGGTGGGCTGATAAAAACACCAGAAACATGATATACTTCAAGGCAATTCAGGAAAGGAAATTCTTCTTTTAGGCTGTGCTGTCTGCAAGGCTTGCTAATCAGTGGCATCTGTAAAGGCTTATCACAGCTTGGAAGTGTATATTGCTGCACCATTTGTGGTGTCTTCAAAATGGCGTAAACATTATTCGTTATTTCCTCAGACTGAGATTTAGCTGAGTGTGTTCCCACAATTGTTGGAGGTAGTCCTTAGCTCTGTGTGAATGACTGTTAGTTCAGCTACTTTGGGGGCTGGGAATAGTTCTGGGCTTTTTCCTGGGGCTGGGTGATGTTGGTATATTAATGAATTCTCCCTGTTTTAGTGTGCTCCTCTGTTTTGGAGTATCATCCAAAGGGTGGTAGTACCAACTTTTGTCCATAGCTTTCTGCCCTAGGATATGTTTACCAAAGAAAAACAAACAGCAGACCTGATAATTCAGCTTTGAGTTTTCAGTTTTCCTTGTGTTTATGGAATCATAGATGGGGTAGAAGGACAGTGACGCACAGTCGTCATCAAGCTTCCCAGCAGTTGTTTGTCGGATGGTACATCCCTAGCTCATTATTTGGGCACGTTATGGGGGCGGGTCAAGATTCTTAAACTGTAGCTGGTAGCCTTTGGTTTTTGATAAAGATGTTCTGGATGATGATGTCTGGAATTCTACTAATGAGTTTTTTATTATCTCAATCCCCAGGACTCTTTCCACTTCTCTTTACCGAGTAATGTCTCTGTAGTCTGTAGTAGTGGGAGGTAAATTTTGGATCTTGAGGCAGTAAAATTAATCTCTGTTCATTACCGGTGTAGGATTAGGTTTATGGCAGTTATTCCTTTGCCCTGAAGAGGAATGGAGACTTGAGTCCTACACTCAAGTAGTTTAAGTGCATTAAATTGTAGCACTGTTTTTGGTGAACTTGCTGCCCCAGAAATAAAACTAGTTCACATTTCTTGACCTGCCAGGCATTCACCAAATTTATCAAGTCATTGTTTTGAAAGCATTTTCTCTTTCATTATGGTTCCTGTTTAGGATTCTGTCTTTTATTCTTTGGATTGCACTAGGGGCTTTGACAAAAGTTTTTATCTCAGTTGTTCATCACTTTAGAATGGAAGGAATTACCATTTTTCCCTTTTGAATGCCTGAGATGATCTGTCCTTTATCTACCCAAGAGCAAACACACTTATTTTATATATAGTTGTCTTCAGTCTCTGCATGAAGTTACAGAAATAATACCCAGTATTTAGAATTTGTAAAAGCAGAACTGTACTCTCTGTGTACTGAAGTTTCTGTCTCAGCGTCAATCCCGTGTGCTAATGAAACTTTGGGAGCTTTTCAGTAATCTTAAACGAGTACGTGCTTGCTTAGTTCTTCTGGGGTGTGTAACAGTAGGTACATGTAAGAGACCAGAGGTGCATATGTGATGTGTATGGGCATGGCTTCAAACAGTTTAGCATACTGATAAGTGTTCCAGACATTCAGTAATTGTTGTACTAGTAAAAATACAGGATGAGATCAGTTGATGAAAGTAGTCTGCCAGTGCTTGCAAGAGGCTTTTTTGGGGGGGGGGGGGGGG